AAGACTGTTCATTGTGTTGGTTAAAAAGAGTCACCAACAGTAGACATTACGTCATCATCGATGCGATACTGTTTCCCAGTCAAGTGTTTTCTCATGTTGGGAAACAGGTGATAGTCAAATTAGGAGAATAGGGAGAGTGACCAGCCACTTCAAAACCACAGTCCCATTGAAACCAAGTCCTTGTGTACTGGAGCATTGTCTTGATGAAACAAGTTTGGTTTTGATAGCTTTTCGTAAGTACCTCAGGAACTTGTCATAGTATTCCCCATTGACGAGTGGCCCTTTTGAAAATAGCCCATAAACACAATGTTTTTACACCCCCAAAATCTGAGGACATCACCTTCTCTGCAGATGAAACGGCCTTGGCCCCTTCTTTGGGGCAGGTGAGGAGATGTGATACCACTGCATTGATTCTCTCTTTGTCTCATTTTCCCGTGATGTGATGAATCTGGATGGAGCGCTTTTGATCAGGTGTCAGAAGACGTGCTATCCACCGAACAGAAACCTTCGTCATGCCAAGTTCATTGTGCAAAATCTAGTTATGTTCAATCGCCTGTCATCTATCACTATGAGCTGAACACGATCAATGTTTTTCCCGGTGGTTGCAGTTACAGAACGCCCAGACTTTGGGATATTTTCAAGATTCTTCCTTAATTCACATGTTAATAAAGCTCTTGAACTTCATCCCATAATGTAGCAACCATGTTAACATGAATATTCCTGGAGGCTAGAATATTTTTCTGCAGGTACTAGATAACACCAAAATGTCAAATTTTGTCCATTTTCAAGAGAAGTCTTTATTAGTTACATTTGAAGTCTTCTTTGAACAGTCAGATGTCAGTTTACCCGGAAAGAAACAATGCAGTTATTAATATGAAGAGCTGAAATTAATCCATGCAAGATTTTACAGGTCTAGAGTTGTGAAATCTTGCATCACTCCCTTATAATCAGCCTATAAACTTTTCAACCCACCCTCGTACTTAATACTGAGAAAGGCTTGCTTACCTGTCATAAAACAAATCGTCACCTTATATGAAATATAAGTAAATCTAAACCCGTGAAAAGTCTATCACGAGTCGTTTCTAGTGTATCATTTTAAAAGAATACACATTGACATGTCGAATGCCTTATTTATCTCACAGTGGGATAGAAGCTACACATGATATACTCAGTCCGTTATGTGCCATGCGTGATATACGCTTAGGCGATCATGTATCTTTCGATACATGACTTTCTGCGGTAGACCAGTTACCATCCAAGCCTATAGAACCCAATCTGTCCTGCTATTTACCCATAGCTGGGTGAAGAAGAGCAGGATTCATATTAGCACGGAAGTGAATATCAGTCAGTTATACACGCTTAGGCGATCATGTATCTTTTGATACATGACTGACGAGGCAGATTTTTTCCCCGCAGTAGTTTGACATTTCTTTTCTGGGGTAGAAGGTAGCCATCTATAGAACCCGTTCTGTCCTGATATTTATCCATAGCTGGGGGGGGGAAGAAGAGAATTCATACCTTTCTCAAGGGTATTAGAATTCGAACAATTCGAACACGGCTCTCCGATTCCTCAATCCGAGTCGCTATCCATTACTCCACCGTGCCTCCTATGTTATACTACGTAAAGTAAAAAAAAAAAAAAAACGTAAAGTACAAACAAATATTTATTTTTCGATGTAATTTTATTAAATCAACGTCACTCTCTTCACATTGTTATCAAAAACTTTTTATATTTGGCCAATGTTAGTGCTTGATCAATTTTGAAGTACAAAATCGATAATTATTCCCCTTAACTTTGTAATTTCCAAATGAGAAGAAATGAGAATAAAATGTTCAAAATCTTTAGGAAAACGTTTCCCATTTGGGAGACGATATTCAATTTTTTTTGTTTTTTTTTATCTATGTAAAGCTGTTTATTTCCGAATGTCCAACACGTAAAAATCATATGAGACATTTTATTTAGCATTAATTAGTCATTCGATGTGCCTATGTGTATTCTCTGAAAATGGCTTAAAATCATTCATAGATTTTAATGAAAAAGTAGTCATCATGTACTTCCAAATATAAGTCTACAAACAGTAAAAGGAAAATTGAATTAATTATTGAGATTGTAAACTTGTTCAAGTAATGATACACAATTTTTCCTTCTCAATTGACACACCTAATTCCCGAAAAAATATTCGGAGATTATCCATATAAACATTGAGAATAAAATGTGTATACAGTTGAAATAACCTTGTTAATCTTATTAAGTGTGCTTTGTATTTGAAACTAAAAAAGTTTATCAGAGTTTTAGCGAAAGTACAAGCTTATAAAATCTTCATTTATCAGTAAAAGTGAACATTTTCTAATTATTTTTCATTTCGTGGTGTGTCGCGATTCCAAAATAAAAGATCATTATTTCATTTATGTATAAAGTAGAGATAATTCTTTAAAGCTATTGGTCAAGCCCAGAAGGAAACAAGTCGATAAAGAATTGATGAAGACTTTGGTATTTAATAGCAGCAATAACCAGGAACCGTTGATATGCCAATGATATAAATGAATTCATATCCGATCGATGAATTCACTCAGGGTTGAGGTCATTCAGTGCATAAATAATAAGCTTTGCAACAATCTGTAATTCAACTAAAGGCGAAGAATTAAGACAAGCCTCTTATTGGCTCCTATATGCGATTAGATACATTTTGAAAATAGTAAATGCCCATCCTCAACACTATATTTTGTATATTTATGTAGAGTTCAATTTGGATGGATATTTGTATGCGCAGGTTTATATGTGTGCATGTGCGTGTGTGGGTGTGTGGGTGTGTGTGTAAAAGAACGAGGAAGTTTTCGGCGTATTATGTAAAAATCGCTGCACACACACACACACACACACACATATATATATATATATATATATATATATATATATATCAAACATGAAACAGACTGCCGCTACTTGCTGTTGACCTCAATGTTCACTGATATTGAGCACTTTTATTAATAAATATAGCATACCTCAAGACTATATTTCTATCATACACACACACATTTATTTATATATAGGGTAGCAATAAAATCACTGTACAGTTACTTATAAAAAGCAAAGCATTGAAACAGGTGGCTTGTAGTTCGGACTGTATCGATAATTAATTTACTGTGTTTTATCACAGCATTTTATTGTTATTAACCAGAACAATTTTAATAATACATTTCTGAACTGTTGATTAATTACTTTGTCTTAATTGTTATTGTAAGTAATAACATACTGTATAGTGATTTTATTGTCACCCTATCTATCTATCTATCTATCTATATATATATATATATATATATATATATATATATATATAAATTTCAAGACTAATATTCCATGGTTATAATTTGTTACATTGGAATCGTAATCACGATCCAATTCATCAGACCTAAAATTCAAAAGCCTTTGAATTTGTAGGTCTGATGAATTGGATCGTGATTACGATTCCAATGTAATAAATTATAACCATGGAATATTAGTCTTTGAGCCTTTTATATTATATTCTTACTCTGTCCTGGACATTGAGTTCTACCTGGATTCTAACCTCTTGGGAATTCATTCATATATATATATATATATATATATATATATATATATATATATATATATATATGTGTGTGTGTGTGTGTATATTGATATTAATATTACTTAATATATATATATATATATATATATATATATATATATATATATATATATATATATATATATAGATAGATAGATAGATAGATAGATAGATAGATAGATAGATGTGAAAGATAGATATAGATATATACAAATTTGTACTTTATCCTTCCACACTTCTAATATATATAAACATTATTTATCTTGTAAGCTTCTTCATGTTTATGCAGCATAACAACCTGCAGTTCCAGGCAGACATCAAGCGACTTTGCTTCTGGCATTATAGTTGTTATTTATTCAGCGAAGATTAGATTTGGTGTGGTATAAAGCCAAAGTATGGGGCACCCAGTAACGATCGAACTCACGATTAATGATTTGCAAATTAAGTTTTTTCATCATTACACCATGACGCGAAGCCTAAGAATCAACCTAGTACAGGGCCATACTAATGGGGCACCCAGTGAGAATCGAAATTACAGCACTGGCGAATTGTTCCCCATGGCAACCATCTCGCCACGCTAGGCGCCCTTTTTAAAATGTCTGCTCGTAACGAGATTTCTGCCATTGTTGTTAGTGCTAAAACATAAGCAGGTTTAAAATGCTGAACTTTCTCAATTAATTCATCTTCACGTCTAAATAATAATAATAATAACACGTCCTAAAATGCAACAATTTATTTCATTTGATCATATCGAGTGATTAAAGGTAATAAACGAAGAATAATTTGCTTAAAGAAGAAAGAGAGATAAAAGCGGTCATGCAAAAAGAAGAGTTATAAGGCTGGGTGTAGAAGAAATCGAGCAAAACGAACGAGAGAAAGAGAAGAAGAAGAAGAAGAAGAAGAAGAAGAAGAAGAAGAAGAAGAAGAAGAAGAAGGAGGAGGAGGAGGAGGAGGAGGAGAAGGAGGAGGAAGAGGAGGAGGCGGAAGAAGAAGAAGGAGGAGGAGGAGAAGAAGAAGGAGGAGGAAGAGGAGGAGGCGGAAGAAGAAGAAGAAGAAGGAGGCGGAGAAGAAGAAGAAGGAGGAAGAGGAGGAGGCGGAAGAAGAAGAAGAAGAAGAAGGAGGAGGTGGAGAAGAAGAAGAAGAAGAAGAAGAAGAAGAAGAAGAAGAAGAAGAAGAATGAGTTTTCTGCCATTGTTGTTAGTGCTAAAACATAAGTAGTTTTAGAATGTTGAACCTTCTCTTTTAATTTATCTTCACGTCTAAATAATGATAATAATAATAATAATAACACGTCCTAAAATGCATCAATTTATTTCATTTGATCATATCTGCCTATCGAGTGATTAAAGGTAATAAACGAAAAATAATTTGATTAAAGAAGAAAGAGAGATAAAAGCGGTCATGCATAGGATTTTAAAAAAGAAGAGTTATAAGGCTGGGTGTGGAAGAAATCGAGCAAAACGAACGAGAGAGAGAGAGAGAGAGAGAGAGCAAGGGAATGAGAGTAAGGGAAAGAAAGAAAGAAAAAGATCTCTGTGGATAGGGAAAGGTGGGGGATAAGGGAATGAAAGAATATCTAAAATATTCTTGAGCAGGTATCAGTGGTTTTTGGAGCACACTACGTCGTTGTGATTCGTTGCCACCCCTTCCTCTTTTTTTACCGCGTTGGGCCCATGTTTTCCTGATCAGTTGTCAACACTGCTTAGAGCACAGTTCCCCGCCGACTACCACTGTCACCTGGTAGTTAGGGGCAGGCGGCTCACACTGCAACCTTCTGTCTTAGTGAGCTCCATCGGGGCACTGCGTCGATATTTCTTTCAATCTGGAGAAGGATATCTTTTATTTCCCTGGATACATTCACTCTCGAGTGAAAGAAAAGCAAAAAAAGAAAAAAGAAAATGAAAAAAGAATGATGAGTCTATTCAACACTAGGACAGTGAAAACATGAAGATTCGAATGAGAGAATAAATTGAAAGAAAGAATGAAAAAGGTAATGAAAAAGAAAGATGAAAGAGGGAGACGGGGATTGAATAAAGGCAGAGGGGGAGAAAGGGAGGAAAAAAAAAAAGGAATTCTATGCCCCCCCAAAAAACGAAACATTTTAAATAAACAAAGTGTAAACAATAAAGAAATAAACTGCAAATGAAAAAGAGGAGACAAATAAAATACATTAACAAAGTAGAGAACGAGAAAAAGAGAAATAATGAAAGAAAAAAAAAACTAAAAAAAATTGTTCAGGAAGGAAAAAGAAGAAAAGTACGAGGAAAAAAAAACAAACAAAAAAAAAACAAGGAAAGATTTGAATAGAACATTAAAGGTGACAAGAGGGGGACCAGTGTTAATATAAAATAGAAAGAGGAAAAAAAAGGGAGGAATTGAGGGAATAAGTAAAAGAGAGTTAAAGCCATGAAGGCAAAGAATAAATATGAAGAAGAAAAATACTCTGGAGGAAAAATAGTTAATTATGAGTGAAAGATAGGAGAATATGTTTGTATCGGCTTATATATGTGAACGCTCGTGTTTGGACACACAGACATCGCCCTCATAAACATGCATATATATGTAAACATTCTGTATATATATATATATATATATATATATATATATATATATATATATATATATATATATATATATATATAGAGAGAGAGAGAGAGAGAGATGGAGAGAAAGAGATATATGAAGGGACGCTGAAAAGTTGCCTTCATGCCATTTCTGAACAAATGTCCAAAACTTTTTCAGCACCCAAACCTATATATTATTTGGTTGTTTTCACGCACGCATACACACATAGGCACACACAGAAAGATACATACATATATATATATATATATATATATATATATATATATATATATATATATATATATATATATATATATATATATATATATATATATATATATATATATATATATATATATATATATATATATATATATATATATATATATATATATATATATATATATATATATATATATATATATATATATATACACACACATACGAAGGGGACGCTGAAAAGTTGTCGTCAGAACCCATTTCGTAAAGTCTGACCAAATGTCCAAACTTTTCAGCACCCAATCCTTTATATTATATGCTTGGTTTCACGCACACGTATATACTCACACATACACACGCAGAAAAAAGCCGAGAGAGAAAGAAAGAAAGAAAGAAAGAAAGAAAGAAAGAAAGAAAGAAAGAAAGAGAAGGAGTTGTAAAGAAGTATACAAGATAAAATTGTGTGTGTTGAAGTCTATCATTTTGAATCTTTGCGCATGTTTGTATGTGTTTGTAAAAAAGGTATGGAAATTTCTTTAAAGGAATTTAGAAGTGCAAATGCATGTACATGCCACTATGTTTGCGTGTGCTCGAATCCGGGAAATGTAGGTACATGTCTGTGTGCATATGGGCGGCAGAAGTGTGTATATGTAATTCTGCCTTGTTTAATGTAGGAAGTAGTTTTTTTTGTTTTTTGTTTTTAATGTGTGGGCATTTACAAGGATGCGTTTGCTCCGTGTAAGAGGAATAGACAGAGAGAGAAAAGCGAAATAAATCTCGCAAGGGATTGTAAGATTCATTTCGGATACACGCTCACAGAAGTGCAACGAAAATAGAAAATAAAAATGACAAAACACTGATAAAAATTGAGATGTTGATCGAAAATTAGGAATTGGGCATGCGAGAAAGAAAGAAAGAAAGAAAGAAAGAATGAAAGAAAGAAAGAAAGTAAGAATGAAAGAAAGAAAGAAAGAAAGTAAGAATGAAAGAAAGAAAGAAAGAAAGAAAGAAAGAAAGAGTAAAATGATATCAAAAAGGAGAAGAAGGGGAAAAGAAATGAAAGGAAATATAAAAAGAGAGTTGATGACAAGTACAAAGACAAATTAACATTCAGCTCAAAGAAACAAATAAATTGATTAGAAAAAGAGATAAAAAATAAAGAAGCATAGTTTTATGATTAATATAGACTTATTTCAATGTATAAGTGTGAATATATATATATATATATATATATATATATATATATATATATATATATATATATATATAATATACACTTATTTCAATGTATAAGTGTAAACATATATATATATATTTTGTGTATTTGGGCAGCAATCCCACTTTTATACATGTTTCATTGAAGATGACTGTCAGAACAGAGCGATTAAGATATTTAGTTAAGATAAGAGCTTATAGATTAGCCGAAAGCGCTTGGATTCAAAGATCATTTGTACAGTTTTTACACACTCTATGTCCGAAATAATAAAAAGGTTAATCACAGTGCCTTGTCCGTCATCTTTAATGATATATATATATATATATATATATATATATATATATATATATATATATTATTGGCAGCTACCGAATATTAAATCGAATGCAGGCTAACAAACTTTCGTTGTGTATTTTAAAACCCAGTTTTTTTTTTCATCAGCTATTTACTTACAGCTCTTCACTAATCTTTTCCTTAATAACAATACTTTCACTTTCCAAAATGTCTTTGGAGCACTACATGTTCTTTTTGAACGCCAAAGCATTTGTAGCACATTTTATAGACACGGTCTGGAAAAGGAAATGCATCCTACGCAATTTCAAATTGTAACTGTGATGTTGATTTGTTTTATTGTCTATATATTTTTTGGTTGTATTAAACTGATAAATCTATTGTAAATAAATGATTCAACCTTGACTTCTTTTTTTTTAAGCATTCAACCCCAAGCAAGGCGGGAAGCCACTAGCATGCAAGGAGTTACAGAGAGTTGGAGCGAGAGCAAAGAGAAGTGATAGAGGAAAGGATGAAGAGACGGTTAGGGGATCCATCAGGGCATCTGGAGACGTCGATTGACGTTACATTTGAATATTTGGAGATTATAGTTATCAGGAAAACAAGAAATGGGGAGGGAGTTCCACAGGCGAGAAGTGCGAGACATGAAGCTATTGGAGTAGAAGAGACGGCTACATTTAACAGTTTCGACAGTGAAAGTGTGAGAGCGAGACGCTAGCCTAATTGAGCGCTTAAATTCACTAAGTCTGGGAACCAGCGAAAACAGCTCATTGGAGCAGTTACCGTGAAAGTATTTGTAAAAAAGATAGAGGGAGACGACGGCACGTTTGTGAGAGAGGAACTGCAGACGAGATGCCAGATCAGGGCCAATTACATTGCATATCTGTCTTTGGATTTTATCAAGGATGAATAAGTTTTCAAATAATCATAGTAAATAACACTGATTTGTTGTAGTGATCATAAATGTTTGCCAAATACAAGTTATGTTTTTTCTTTTCAGAGATAATATAGCAAGATCCAAATATGTCACATTTCTGGGATCCAGAAAGCATGACTATGCAAAATTTCAACTCAATCTTTCTTGTACTTGTGCAAAGGTCTTGGATATACATAATCTTTTTAACTAAATAATTTCAATAATAATTTACATAATGTCCCTACTTTGATGTTTCATTGTCTACATATTTTTTTGATTGAATTAAACTGGTGAATCTATTGTAAATAAATGATTCAACCTTTGACTGAAGAAGTCACTTGCCTAAAATAATTCTCAATATTTCCAGTTAACCATTTTAGTTTTCAAAAATTAAAATTTTCTTATAAAAGCTTTTAATCCTCATTTGGGGATTTTCTTTCTGAGTTTCTTTTATTGTTTTAAGGAAACTTATGTCAAGAGAATCTTCTAAATATTTCTTCTACTGGCAATTTCTTTGTCAGGTATATTCAGATTTGAAAGTTTTTGTTTATTATAAGAATAGGAAACAACTGTTTCCTTGTAAATAACTCTTTTCATGATAATTTAAAGAAGACTTTTAAAGCTTACTAGTAGGTCTTTTGATTATGGATATTACGATGGAGTTGTTATATGTCTAAGATTATTAATTTTGCAATATTCAACAAATTCTACTCAAGTTTAGTAAGTGTCATTATCCAAAATCAATATTTTCAATATTCTTAAAATGAAAAACAAAGTAAAAATAACAATCACGAAAAACTGAAAGAGAACCCTTCTTTAAATAAAACTAAGGATAATCCTTTCTTAATAAAACTGAGGATAATCCTTTCTTAATAAAACTGAAGATAATCCTTTCTTCTTTCCAGTTATTTTGTAACAATGTATTTTTTTCACACAATCTGACAGATTCAAGTTTGACAGCTGCAATGCCTACTTCATCTGTAAGCCGATATAAATTTGATTTTTTTTTTACTATTGTTCACTCAATACCAGGCTCAATAGCCACACAAGGTAGAGAGTTAATAAATTAGTTTTTTTGTACAGGGAGAGATCAAGAGGTGCATGTTATGAGGATAGGTAGGCTAGATAACGGTTGACACTCGACTTGAAGAGGATTAAGATTGTAATGATTGGGGAAACATTTTCTCGAGAATACGTTCACTAATGCAAACATTCTGGGGGAGGCTGGAAAGTGAAGATTAAACAGCCTCAGTTCAGAGGGGGCAGAAATATTTTTGATCTGTTCTGTCTCTTGGAAAGTCTCACTTCATGAGGATTCAGGTACTAACAATTTTTTCAGCATCTTTAGTGATGGATCAGTTATACTATATTCTATTTCGCCACTATGGTCCACAAGAAACACTTTCTGTCTGTACCAGCGTGATAGTTCCGATCACAACAGACGCGTCTTCGTAATAACTATAAACGTGTTCTCAAAGAGGCTAGGTTTATATTTACTGATAGAAGAAGGCACTGTACAGCGTCTAGCAAATTTGGATCCCGTGATTACTGGCAGCTCTGTAATAGAATAAATGTAATATTTCTATGCTACCTCTTTTGACTCAATATGAAGTGTTAATATCTTCTGTTGATAAAGCTCGTAAATTCTTTAAGATATTTTTGGAATTTTTGGTGGCAAATATCATCAGATATAATTAATATACCGGGTGTAACAGCAAAATTGTCCAATAGTTAGATTAAGCTTTGAACTGATGTATCTTAGAAATGATTAAATATATCTTACTGGTGTTCTTCGAGACTTTTATAACACTATTAAACTTTACTTTGAGCAATATAAGTGTATAATTACTCTCCAAACTTAACAGAAGAATTGTGATATATATATATATATATATATATATATATATATATAGTTATCCAAATATAGCCTATCTTAGAAAATAATAAAGATATCTTTCTTTGTAGACAAAGTGTCATTTATTAAAATATAAATATCTCCATTAGATAATTTGATTTGGAGTGACACTCGCACACACCCATATATACTCGGACGCACCCATATATTGTCCAAATTGTGTTATCCATTTTTTAGGTTAAGTTTGAACCGTTGTATCTTAGAAATGGTTAAAGATATCTTACTGGAATTTTCCGAGGTTTTTATAACTCTGTTGAACTCTACTTTCAGCAATATGAATGTATAATTACTCTCCAAACTTAGCGGAAGACTCGTGATAAAATCGATCATAAACGAAGATGACATTTTCATCATTAATTCATCATAGCTAAGAATCGGAAGCTCATGAAGTATTGAAATAAAGTTCCACCTTTTTTGACTCAATCTGAAGTGTTAACATCTGTTGATAAAACTCGTAATTTCTTTAAGATTTTATTTTTTTGAATTAGTGGCAAACGATCAATCATCAGATATAATTGATATACCGGATATAACAGCAAAATTGTCCAATTGTTAGATTAATCTTTGAACCGTTGTATCTTAGAAATGATTAAATATACCTTACTAGAGTTCTCCGAGGTTTTTATAACACTATTAAACTCTACTTTGAGCAATATGAGTGTATAATTACTCTCTAAAATCTGTCTATATTTCTGAGATGAGGTATTATAATTACTTACATTATTTATATTATTCGGACTGTCATCACCTGAAAAGGCCGGAGTGTACAACGGCCGAATCGTTGTGAATATGGCAATGAAAATGAAGATAACAGTTCGAATAATGTAAGTATTTACGCTCCAAGCTTAACAGAAGAATCGTGACGAAATCGATCATAAACAAAAATGATATGTTCATCATTAAATATATATATATATATATATATATATATATATATATATAAAAATTCAAGAGAGACCATTGAAAGTATAAGACAAACCCCTGAACTATGTAAAGTCTTTCACCTATCTTGCTATCAAAGTCAACTGCAGTGGAACTTTAGATGATGAAATCATGCATCGGATTGCTAAGGTTACCAGTGCTTTCGGTAAACTTTGCCATGGCATGTGGAATTAGCGGGGTATTCGACTGGATACGAACATTC